CAATTGCATCACACCCCCAGATAGCCAATGAAATAAATGGACCATTGATAGACCAGAAATTGATGGACCAGCAATAGGCCCAATGGACCTAGTCCAAAATCCATTGGTCACAATGGACCTGGTCATTTGCCAACCCTGATATATAGTGAAGTTTTTTGTCAAAACCAACTCTTTCTTATATTGAGCACCAACTGTAATACGATTGAAAATTAAAGCTTCTATGTTATAAAGGTCTCAACTAAGGTTTTAGATTTCAGCCAAGGTTTCAACTTTCAGGTAGAAACCCTTTCAACCCAAAACTGAAACTTGTACTGTATATTTTATTCATAAACTTTTAATATAATTAAAATACTCAAATTCATAATGAATAAAACAAGCAATTCAAATAAAACTTACTCGAATAGAAACCTAAGTTAGGCAGGCTCAGGTTAAAACTTGAATTTTCAAGTTCAAGCTAAGAAAATAGGCTTTTAAATTGTTTTTTTAGGTACAGTCAGTGCTCAATATAAGGAGGAGTTGGTTTTTTGACAAAAAAACTTCACTATATCATTTATTAAAAAATAAATCATTATATCAAGCTGAATTTATATATTCCAACTCCCTTATATTGTATGATTTCACTATATCAAGCACTGACTGTAACCTAAAAAATTTATGTAACATCAAACTCTAGTCAAAAATTTGAGTTTTCAAAAAAAAACTTCTATTAATATAGTTGTACAAAATTGGTAGTAGGACATTTTTTTATTGGTTAGATAATTTAAATATCAAATCATGACAATAAGGCTCATTATTACTGTTATTATATATTTGTAAATCATGAAAATCTACAAGAAACCTTATATTATCTATAGTATAATTGATTTTTCAAGTATTATGCATTATTGTAAATTCATAATCCACAACTCTACTTAATATCAATTCACTTTCATCAATCTTAAAAATAAAGTTTTATCTTTTTCAATAGCATAATAAGAATTGTGATATCTTTCTTTTATATTTCAACAAACTGGATTATAGCCACCTACTAATTCACCAGTTCTTTAAATTTCATAATTGTTACATGTGGAATATCATAACATTTTTTCTCAAATGCTAATTTTCCAAGTCCCTCTTGAAAGCCACTAAAAACTAATTCAAATTTAAATTGATGTTTTTCATCAACCCAATTAGAAATTAATGAACTTGGACCCTTTTGAACTGATAATCTTATCATTATGATGATAAAATTGAATTAGTTCTTCATAAACTTCCTTATAAATGACCTTTTTATAGGGTATGATTTTTTCATTGAAATCATCATATTAACCAGGATTGGCCCATGGTATTGGTCCATTGGTGTAACACCATATTTAGTATTTTATTAATGGCAATGGACCATACCAGAACTCATTGGTCTCAATGGACCTAGTCTATTGCTGACCCTGTATTAAACCTAATTAGTAGAATAATCTCCTTCAAATTTGTTTTCAATTCAATTACACTATCTTCCCTTCATTCTGAATACTTTCTTCCAGTTTGACTAATTTTGGTTGGTTATTTACTGGAGAATACTGTCCCAATTCAAATTGATTCTTTTTTTTTTCTTCCTCTTTTGCATCTTCCAAATCTTCTATTTGTCCAATTCTCCATTGAATAACATGATTCCAGGCATCAATTTTTTTTCAACTTGGAAATAATCACTTACCACCACAAACAACATTGTTGATTTTTCAATTGCTTTATAATCAGAATTGAAAAAAGCCAATTCAGGGTTTTCACAAATTAATTCATTACAATATTTTGAAGCACACTAAATGATAATTGATATTGTGATGAAAATGTATAACATAATTAAATTTTGCTTGATCCATTCATTTTGGCTAGATTCAACATTCCATTGTAAATATACCTTTAAAAAGAAAATTGTGATCATTAATGATTAATTAAGTGATTAATAAATAAATAAATAATTCTTACATTAAAATGACTTTGAATATATTTGGAGAAATATTTTTTTTTCTCAAATAAAATAACATCATCATCAGATTTTTAACCCAATTTGACAGATCAGTTTTAAGATACAAGGATCTTGCTTTTAAAATGGCAGAATGAGTTTTAAAAACTTTCACATCTGGGACTTCTCCAACTTTGATTTCTACATCACAAAAATCAGTTTCATTTAACAAATTTGTCAAATCATTTATAAGTTTTCTAATGTGTTTTAGTGATAAGTCATTCTTGTTGGAACTAATAAGGTTGTTAAGTAATTAATTTACATTTCTAATTGTTGATTGCTTGAAAGAATTTATTCTGAAGAAAAAAATTTTAAATTTATGAATTTATAAATTAAACTAAAGCTTGAATCAAACGAAATAAGTTATGATGATACTTACTCATGCATTATTATTATACCGATATTTTTTCTTTGTTATTTTTGTTTTGACATCCACCTTCAAAAGTAGAATGTTTTGGCTTGTTTGTACAACATACACATGCGCGTAATAAAAGTGTGTACGCGTATGTCGATCGAATAACAACTTTTTTCCCTTAATTTGGGAAATTTTCCACATCCAAAATTTATACAGTAAATGGAATATAATCGGATTTTTAAACAAGAGTGATTTAGAACCGTTTGATAGAAAAATAGATGAGTACCTTAAAAGCCTTGAAAAGATTAATAACGAAAAAGGAATGAGGCAAAAAAAGCAAGCCAACTTCTTGACAGATATCGGAAGGCACGTAATGACTTTTTTAAAAATAGTGGCGTGACGATCGTAGGCTTCTTTGGCCTTTCTCATCCAAGGCTCTTTGCTAAGCTACAAACCAGTGTTAGAGCACAAATAACCTTTTTGGTTATTTGATTTCAAGACTTTTTGCTGATCAAACACTGAACCCATTGGGGCCAGGTGTCCTCTTTGGCTACCTGATACTCAAAATGGGATAGAAGCTGAAATAAATATGATCAAGATTCTACAAATTTTCAAATCTTATATGTTAGAATCCTAGACCAGATTATAAAATCGCAAAGTCCTGGGAAAAGGAACGCACACGTAAACAAGTTCACCTACACCGGCTAATAAACGGAATTGTAAATGGAACAATTAACACATTTAACGGGGAAAAAGTTGGAATCATTAATGAACAAGAAATCCAGTTCTCAGAAGAACACCGAGAAAATAAACAGAGTAAATTATGCTGAAAATTCAAACAAAGTAAACAGAGTGAATAATATCAGCAAGTGAACCCATAAGGAAATATCAGATGAAGATTCTGAGGTATGTAATATGCTGTTAGTCAATCTTTCCTATTTCAACCTCTGATTTTTCAATATCTAGGTTTGCGATGAAGAAGAAGAAGAGATAACTACGAAAAAGATGATGAATATGACGACGAAAATGGTGACAAGCACGAAAAGGCCGGAAAGAGAAAGAAATTAGAGAAAAAATTGATCGAAGGTTTTAAGTTGAGGTTTGAAATGATAAGTATGGGCGACAAATGGAGGCTTTTTTCAGGCATATTTGCAGAAGATGCCTTGTATAATTGGGCAGTGACTCAACGTTCCGAAACGTAAATATGTTACATTTATCACATTGATTATATTGTTACCAAACATATTTACAATAAATTAATGCCCATTTTGTTTAAAGACTTGCACACTCTTTTATACTTGATACAGGTTGTCAAAAAGGTATGGAACTGTTTAGTTTAGAAGAAAAATAAATAATTACGAACATCGATAAAAAAACTTTTTCAGACGTTGTAGATGATGTTAAAAAATACGTCATGAAATATCATAAGGTATTTGTTTAATTAAGATTGACTAAATTGTACATATTTACATATAAACTTTATATATTTTCACAGAAAAATGTTGGAGGTCTTTGAAAAGTTCTCACGACACCATATTTGAAAGATGGGAAGACATAAAATCCAGAGCTGCACTACGATCTAGAATGGATTCGTTTAGTATTTAATAAATTGTAAGTTACTCTTTTATGTAATGTTATGATACTTGGCCAATGCTTTTCCCATCAATATAATGTTATTGAATGGGAACAAGGCGTTAATGCTCTAGCTGAAGACAATTTAGAGCCATGGCTTGTGAGTCATGTTTGGATCTTTGTTATTGAGGTGGTATTAAAAGATATTGAAGAAATAAGAATTGGAAAGTATGTAATGCTCACATTCTTTGCAATATTGGTTATTAACTACGTATTTCTATCTTATAGGTCAGATGGTGGTTCGTCTGCATCAAAAATTCGAAAAAATAAGAAAAGAAAAATCGGAGAATCTGTCATTCGTGTAAATTAACTTTAAATTTGTAATTTTATAATACAAATAATTTAAATTTTAATATCAATAGGGCAGAAAAATCGATTTATTGCTAAAACTCTGTAATAGTTCAAGGAAATATTAGCTGGAAAAGTAGCAAGAACAGGAGATATTCATGATAAAAAGTCTTTAAAGGACAGAATGAAGCTATTAAAACTTATGAAAGATATTCTCGATTTAATTATTGAGTCACTTCCATCAACAACAATTGAAAATTACAGGAGTCTGTGCACGTCCGGGATACAACTTTTCAGTAAATGAACATTATTGATATTATATACTATATTTAATAGCTTTGTCACTTACATTTTATTGTTCAGGAACATCACATGTGCACCTTCTTTAAGTAGGAGAGTTAGCAAAGTGTTTAAATCGGTCTCTCTTATTGCTTAGAAAATAAAGGTATTATTTATATTATGGATCGCTCTTGAGGAGTTGTCTCGCGATTGACTAAAAAAGCCAATTTAGAAGCACCAATATACATTGAAGGTCTTTGTGGTTTAATTTTATCAATAATTACAATTTTAGAATTAAAGGTAATTATTAGCATGGTGGAAAATATATTTTTCGTGTAACATAATAGTTTATATTGTTTAAAGTAGAATTACAAGGTAAAGTGTGATGATGAAAGTGTATTCAAACTTTGCAAATATACGCCTTCATATCTTCTAAGTCTAGAAAGATCATATGGTGGCGAAAATAATGATTGACGATAGTAAAATTTTTAACAGAAATTTATTTCAATGTATATTAAAGAATAATATTAGATTATTACAGGTATTATTATTACTAATATTATTATTATATATAAAATTAATCAAGCATTATCTTTATCCTCGCCGCCGCCACCGCCACCACCTACATCGATAAATTCTTTCTGTTTACCATGACCTAATGTGTGTTGATCTCCCACAATTCCAATATTTGATAATACAAAAGTACCAGTATTCAAACCTGCCCATCCGAATGTTGCAATTGACGCACCAACAAACGCCACAACCATCAATACTATTGCTATTGGCACAAAAACCACCAATCCCAAGAATGTAAAAAATCCTTGTGCACAAAGAATTCCTACACCAGCTAAAGCGATAACAAATCCCAATGTTAGGATAAACCATCCAACAAATATTATCAATGGAATCGAATTAAATATTAACAATGTATAAAGTAGCCATCTTATCGGTGGAAAATTTCCCCATAAATACTTGATTGCTTCATAAATTGGATCACTAATTGGTTTAATATAATCTCTAACCATTTTAAAATAACTTCCATTATGTGTTAGACTTTGTGCTGTTTGTTGAATACTTTGTCCCACATGATGTATCGTATCTCTTTTTCCATCCATTATTGATTATTATGATTATTAGATTTTTTTTTTGGGAAATTATTTATTTCATGTAAGAAAAAGCCAATTTGATTTTATTTATCTCTTTTATAAATATTAATCATCATTATTACTTAATAATGATTAGTTTACATCATGATGAATTCGAGTAATCATTATAAGAAATAAATATGATGACGATGATATCATTCTTCAGATTACACAATTACAGCAAACAATTAAATTAATTATTGGCTTACCAAAAATAGTATATTGATATACTCCTCAGTGAAACAATAATATTTCAACTTTCCAAAAGTTTACATTCTCACTTCCAAACTTGAAAAAGGCTAATGGTGCTGATTAGCCCCCTTTTCTTTTTCAATGTTGGCCTACCTCTTCTTTCACACGACTTGAATATGATTAACATAGGCGAAAGCCCTAAATATTAAAATTATTTGGTGTAAACTCCAAGAAAAAAACCATCGGATTTATTATACAGGTGCTGCTCCAAGAACAATTAGATACAAAAAGCAAAAGCCTCGCTGTTCAAAAGTTATTAGCCTATAATAAAAAAAGTTATAATTTTGTCGACCTTGGATGATTACCTAATTAATACTAAGGCAGAGAGGCAGGAATGAAACTATAATTATTTGAGAAAACATTTGGAATGCTAGATAAGCCTCTTGAGTAATTATTCCAGAATTAAGAATTTCTGCTAGAGGTGTTAGCTCTGGTCGTGGCTGTTTCAGAAACAGTGTTTGATGAGTATTCTTTATATTTATCCTTCATTGGAAATTCCAGTTCTGCTAGTAATAATATATTCAGTTGTTTGTGGTAATATAATAATTTGATGCTATTATAAGCCGAGTAAAAATAGGTTAAAGACAAATCTTTCGTTCCCCTATTTTTTATTTTTTTGCTTCACAATGTAAAAAGAAAACTTTTTAATAAATTTTTTAAAACGCGAAAAAATTTGGTAATATTATTGTTAAGTTATAAATATCAATGATGAAATAATTACTGTTGTGTTAATATTTTGCACCATATTAAATGTTTATTTATTATTTTTTTTTCCCCTTGAAAAAATATTGTACATCTTTTCTTTTTTCTCTTGCAAAAATAAAAAAATAAAAAAATGCAGAATTATAACAATTATTACGTTGAAGGAACTCCTAAATTATTAAAATTTGCACATTTACATTCTACTACACGTCGAATATTCATTGGTCCTACTCCTTCTAATTGGTCTTACAAAAAATCCAAATCAAAATGGTTCAAAATTAATTCTAAATCAAATTCTTCAAAAACTTTCATAGTCACAAAAGATTTGTTGGGCCCTTCAAATCTTGATCCACTTGATCTTTCTTTACCTAAAACTGAAATTTTAAGGTAATTAATATCAATATAAAACGCTTTTATTTTATTTTTAATACTTATATATATATGATTTTCTTAGTAATGATGAAATAGAAGTTGAAAAAAAAGGGTTTGTTATGGACGATGAGACATTTCATTTTGAAAATGAGACCAAAACTATTAAGGACAATTCGTCAAAAAATATTTTTCAAAGCAAAACTAGTTGTGATAATATTACATTGCAAGACCTTAATAATTATAGTACAGAAGGATCTGGTGCTTTTAGTGAACGCAATCAAAATTCATCAGGAAGCTATTTTTCTCCTATCAGTGAATTATACACGACTCCAACAGAGGAGATCAACATGTATCCTATTACACCACCACATAATAATCATTCACATCTTGAAAAGTTACCGCCACATTTATATATGCCTCCAACAGTTATTAATGATGATAATGATATAGCTGTGCAAAATGAAAAACAATCTTACAAAAACAATAATAATATTTCAACTTCATCCAGTTCAACTTCATCATCTGAAATTATTGTTGATCCAGAAAATGAGAATGATTCAAATGAAATTAATGAACATTACGATGATGTTCAACCTTTACCAGATGTTCATAATTTTGATCCTCAAACCATAATAAAGGAGGGTTGTATGCTAGTGAAGATTGAAAGAACAAATGGTTCATTAACTTACATTCAAGAGCCAAAAAAACATTTAAAAAGCCATACAGAATGGAGAGAATATATTGTTATATTACGACCAGGAATATTAGAACTTTATAAAAATAAAGTATGTATTTAGATATATATTAGTATATATGTGTGTGTGTGTGCACGTGGATATTAATTTAATATATTATATATACATCTTTTGAATTAGCAAAAAAAACATGTTGACAAAATTCAACTTAACAACTTTACTAGAATGTCACTTTATTCAACTATTGACTACACAATAGCTATTACACAAAAATTAAATGATGGAACGAAAATATTTTATCTATGCCCCAAAACTTATCCAATTTGTAACGAGTGGTATCAAGCACTTCATAATTTTCTTCCAAAGGGTTCTAAAAAAGAAAAACCGAATGTATGTGAAGTTGTAGTTCCTGATTTTGTGGTTGAGATAAGTATTCCTTTAGAAGATGAAGAAGGAATGGTACATTCTTTAACACCAAAAAAAATAATAAAAGCTGTATTAGATGAATTGAAAGGCATAGTTGAATGGAAAGATGTATTGGATGAATGGTTAAGAAGCACCGAGTTAAAGTTATGTTGGAAAAGATATGATAGATTAGAATGGATTTATAAAGAAGAAAATCAATTTAATATATTAACATGCCCACAGTTTATTGAAAGGGTAATCTACGCTCTGTAATTATTCTTTTTGTCAATTATTACTTATATTCATTTTATTCACTTTTTTAAAGACTCATCAGTTGCAGTTACGTCCAACAGTCCATTATCCTACTATTGCAAAATTACCAAATGGAAATATTATTAATGTAAGAATAAATAAGTACGATCATCATCATCATCATTATTAACAATGAATGATTGTTATTGTTATTATTAGGAACCCCCTCCAGTAGAAGGATATCTTATACGTATTACTAATAACAAGGGTAAAACTATTAGGTCAAAAAAATTATATTTTTCCTCACATAATCATCACTTATTTTACATGATACCATTTTCGACAAGTCAACCACAAGCACCCGTGATGGAATCAAATGAAAGTAGTAGCAATAATACTCAACCACTTACTTATGCTGTCACTCCTCATCTTGATGAAAATTTTGAAAATAGAGATTTACTTATTGAAGAAGATATGAAAAGACGAATCAAACAAATAGTTTGTGGCAAAGGATTTATTGATTTGATGGAAGTTGTTGAAGTCAAAAAATCAAGCTATAATAAAAACTCTAAATCTATTGTTAATAATAATAATAATAATGTTAATAATAATGTTAAAGGAAAACAAAAGGCAAATGAAGAAAGTAATAATATTTCGCCACCACCAAAAGAAACTGATGATTATTATGAAAGTGAAGGTTCACCTTTTGAATTAATATTAAAGAATGGAAGATCTATAAAGTTAAAAGTAATAAATGTTTTCTTTTTTTTTAATTTAAGGTTTTTTATTTTTTATTTCTTTATTCATATTTATTTCTTTTAAAATGTATAGACATATTCTAATTGGACTCGAGATGAATGGATGAAACGGCTTGATGCTCTTATTATTTATTGGAAGGCAAGAATGTCATCTGATATACAAGCACGAGCTAACACATTAAAAGAAAGTCAAGGCAAAAATCCAGGGTGTGATGATAATAGAGGTTTTTTTGATGATAATCTTCAACATAACTGGGAATTATTTAATCAATATATTGATCCAAGTATATGGAATTGGTGTACTTTGGATAGATGTCGTGGAATCACGGTATTTTGCTTTAATATTTCAAAAGTTCAATTTTTCATATAATAATACATTAACACTTGCATGACTTGCTTATATATAATATATATAATATATAGAAATCAGGAATTTTGTATCATAAATCCCATTTATATGGCACATTCAAAAAATATTATTATGTTCTTACAAAAGGTCACCTAATATATTATAAATTTTATACTTATTCAACTTCTGGGAAATGTGTTCGAAGTAGTTATCATAAAATTGCAGGTGTTATACATTTAGAAGATTGTTATATTTATTCTGGTGAGATTACAGAAAATGATCTGTTGTATTCAAGTTTAGTAAGATATGATAATACTGCTACAGTTGATGTGTTGCCAAGAATATATTCAGATGGAATGTGTTGTTATGATGATGATAAAGAATGTACATTTGTAATTTGGGAAGGAGAAAAAAGATATTATTTTAGCAAAAATGGAAAATTCATATCTTTAAAAAAGAAAAAAATGCTTGATACAGGAAAAACATGGGTTTTTAGAGCAAGAAGTAGACTTGAATGCGAGGAATGGGTTTGGGCATTTAAGGTTGAAATTGAAAGATGTTGGAATGAACAATGTTCAAAAAAATCAACTTGATTTTTTTAATTCAATCCCTTGTAAATATTTTGATATAATTTTATTTTAATTAATTTAATTTATTGATTTATTTAATCTACCATAAACTTTTTAAAAAAGAAAATTTTAGGTATTATTATTATGTTTAAATAGTTAGTTGTACTTTAATAATCACTAAAGAGGTTTATCCAGATTCAAAAAGTAAATGAGAGCTGAAGGATAGTAATTTCGTTAGAATCCTTACTCTAACTAAAATTCTTGTTAATATTTTAAGACATTTTCATAATAAGTTCTGATCTCAAAATATATTAGTTAAAAATTTTATTCCTATAGTTATTATTAGTACAAGACTCTATATATATAATAAACTATCAATGAATATGCCCTAATATTAAGTTCGCTTTATCTGAATTTAAGAACATTTACATGTAAGGAAGGATTACTTTTTGTAATAATTTTTCATAAACTATATATTAATTTAATATTTGATATGATGTAAAATTTCAAATTCGTGTTACAGAACGCTTTTTTATACCTTGAACTTCATTATTAATGTAAAACGAAATTACTACATTAAAGCTTTCTAATGATCACCTTTTCATATTGAAAGGTCTTCTCTACATAAATTTACGACTATTCAAAAATGGTGTTGCTTTTTCCCTTCAAACCTCAGGTTATTTTTCAATATCGTTTTAAAAGGCTCGATAGTGACTAAAGAGGTGCAAATAAGCCTCCATATGGTCATTACTTTATGGAGTATGTTGGTTAACAAGTTTTAGAGAGACTCACAAAAAACGGTTTATAAATGTTTTAATGCTAGTTTATGTCAATAATTTCTTCATCATTTAACAAAAAATTTTTAAATGAAAGAACCAAATATATTGAAGACAATAATGGGCAATACTACCTTTTTTTTCCATAATATGCAATATTTACTTTCGTAAATAATATATTATCTTTTATATATAAAGATTATTGTTAATTGATATTTTTATTTATATTTAAATAATATAATGATTAAATTAGTGATTGCTTTATATAATGTATTTATTATTCATCAAATATTTATCATCCATCACCACTGGCAGAATCTGACAGTAATGCTATTTATTATTATTAAATTCTTTACGATTAAATATCATCCATTAAAAAACGTGTATCGATCATTACAACAAATTTTGATGATCAGTATCATGGATTCGCTGAAACGAGGTTTATATCGTATTAGTATATCGATATTAATATTAATATTAATATTAATATATTTTATACGGATATCCGGCGTCGGATTACGTTGTTTGGTTATAATAATTTTCTACTGCCCTGGCCGAGATAACCTTTATTTTTTCTCCTTCCCAGGATCATTTACGACTTCACCAACCATATCGGCTCTAGAATAATCATTTTCTTGGATGGTCTTGTTGAAAAGGGTTTTAAATTTCTGCATGAGTGGATCTGAAAACAAAGTGTGTCTTGAAGCTATAAATACGAAAATATTTGATGTTTCTCACCAAAGATAGTGGATATATTTGTTGACCCTAAGGTTTGGAATAACATTAGAAAGAAGAACATAACTTGACCCATAACATATACTAACATTGAATTTTACCAATCAATTGATCATAATAATTCCCAGATTTTATAATATTTTAATGATTTAATAAATTATTGACTACTAATAGATTTGACCCTATTAAACCTAACCAACCTTTTTGATGTATATAACAATTTGATCCTATTAGTAAAATTTTTAAATATATAAATAATTTAACCGTATTATAATTTACTGACAAAAAATTTAATTTGTATATATATGAATTTGACCCAGCTGCGGCAGTAACCTACCTATCTATGAAGTTTGTGGGGTCCTCATTTATCCTGGTCAGAAATGGATATAATACGTGAAATACAAGTGACTTAACATGCCTTTGATTTTTTGACAAATTTAAGAATAAACAATATATTATACGCAGTTGCAATTGGTTGTTTTTTGTAATTGTTTGATTTAATGTGTGTTTCTAATTGATTATTTGATGAATTTTTTATTTGAATGTTATGAGGTATAAAAGTAATTCAAATAGATTTATCCTGTTTTTATACACGTCTAAATATTTCTCTGATGAGATTAAACAATTTATCATGGGACTCAAAATTTTGACACATCTCATGCAACACATAGACCCTGAATCAACGTCAAAAAAAACAAGTTTATTTATTCATAAAACAAAGAAGATCCAGCGATCATACATATAATAATACATAACATTAGATTATTAGGTTAAGAACTCTGTATCCTGCATAGCGTAATTCGGCAATCATATTATAGATTTTTAGTGGAACATTAATGACTCACTTTGGACAATTGGGGTTGCAAAATTATCATGTATAGAAAGTTGATTACTACGCATACCAATTGTTGTGCCAACCATGGTTTTCCTAACATTAATCAGGCCCAGGCCAATCTGGTCTAAGGACCAAGAATTCAACGAGATCAATGCTTTTATGCTTCCCGTAAGCAGTTCAACCTTTCCTAGTATAGAAAAGGACCCATGTATCATTTTAATTTAGGTCCATTGAGACCAATGAGTTTTAGTATCACCCAATCCAAGGATCTACATTCTCAAAACATGAGGTTCAACCTTTTAACAGGGGTGTCTGGGTGGTTGTGTGTTTATGTGTAACCCCAATTTTAATTAGTAGATTGGGTCATGGTTTATTGGTAAGGGGTTTAACCTTAGGATCGATATCTCAAATAGTAAGATTAATCCTTGTTGTAGATACTTTGATTGGTTGTTTAATATGGTCCATTGACATTAATAGAATATTAGATTTGGGATGTTCTCTATAATTGAATGGTCTAATTTACTATGTATGTAATTCAAAATAACCAATAAAAAATAAATGATATTGCCATTAATAAATTAACTTTAATTAAAGCAGGCATTGATATTTTAAAACAAATGCCAATAAAGTTTTAATATGATAGATATATTATAGTGATAAAACATTTGATACCTTATTTTTGATTATTCTCTGCTGGTGTTCTTGAAGTTCTACTGTCATTGGTTGTTGCTTAAAATCAAAGAAACATCCATTTTCATTTCTTGGTTTGTTGCTACTTGTTTGGGCGAGGCATTTTTATAAAGATATTAAAGTAATTTTACAATTGAAGAATTAACTCACCCGAGGTAAATCATATGATCAATGGATACTTGAATGTTACTGGACAATTTTTATTTGCAAAATTTTTTCAACCCAGTTTTTTAACTGGAAAAATCGATGACTTTAACTGTGCTTAGACATTGGTCTAATACTAAAAAATTTAGTTTTGACACCAATGACCTAAATGATTTAATTTATAGCACACAAGCCTGAAAAAGGTGATGCATCCAAATTTCTGGAAATTTTGACAGGTTTGACAACAAAAAACGTCACTACTCCTGGAAAGATGCTAATATGAAAATCGATTTAAGACCTACAAATGGTAAAAAAATAAAAAGACTAGGCAAAAGAAAAAATAACATTAATAATTTTTGAACAACAAAAATATATAGAAGCACCACTGCCAACCCTCTCCATATTGTTCAGGCATCACTTCGAAATACCCAAAATCAATAAACTTATAATTTTTGCTGATAGTATTTTATTATATATTTTTTTTTGGGTACTATAATAGTCACGTGTTTCATTTTTTAAAGAAAATATTTTTTCCTAATAATTTGTTTACGTATGTAGTACGCTTTAAAAAACGAAAAAAACAGCCCTTAAAATTCATTTACAAGTCAAATTTATATTAATCTTATTAATGTTCAAGAAAAGTAGGCTGTGGCACTTTTATATATATATATTACCTGATAAGAATTATTACTTGCTTTTGAAATTTGGTTTTTTTTTTGTACAACTTTTTTTTTTTTTTTAACTTTTTTAATTGATATATACTGCGGCTTCAGTTTCATTATCATTCATTTTTTTTATTACGCGAATGTAAAATAGAAATATGGCTGATAGTAATATAAATATAAAAAGAAAACGTACATCTGAAGTTATTGTAGATGCGCCAAATAATTTAGATTTAGAAGCTTATATTGCAAACTATACAGGTTAGAATTGAATTCATAAATCAATAATTTGAAGGATTTAAAAATATATATAACAAACAACACATAAACGTTTATTTATTTTAGGACACACAAAAGTTGATCGATTACTTTTTATTGCATCAAGATGTCTAGCACTACAGATTGACGCATATAAGCTTGCAATACAAGAACTTAGAAACTCTTTGGATACAAATCAATATCTTTATGCAGCCTCGAAATTTAATGAAGTTTTAGCATCGAGAGGACTTCTTTTGTATCAGGTTGATAGTTCATGGGTTGATTCAACACAAAAACTTGCAAAACAACGATTGGAAAAAATGGAATTGGAATTGAAAAATTATAAGAATAACTTGATTAAAGAGAGTATAAGAGTAAAATAACTTTTTTTTTCTTTGATAGTTGCGTGTGTGATGCATATGTGATTTAAATGAATAGATTTTGAAGAAGATTTTTAGTTGATTTATAATTTTTTTCTTTTTCAAAAAAATAATTAAAGATGGGACATAATGATCTTGGAGACCATCATTATAGATGTGGAAATTTGAAAAATGCATTAAAAAGTTATTCTAGGACTAGGGATTATTGTACAACAGCTAAGCATGTTATAGACATGTGTTTAAATGTCATCAAGGTTTGATTAATATTTTTTATTTTTAGTAAATAAAAAAAAAAGAATATATAAACATATATATATATATTATTACCACACCACATTTATTCCTTTTTAACATTTATTGTTGATTTAATTAGGTTTCTATTGAACTTGATAATTTTTCACATGTCCATAGTTATGTTATTAAAGCAGAGTCAACGCCTGACATTCAACCGGCAGTACAAGCAAAACTTAAAGTAGCGGCAGCATTGGCTAATCTTGATAATTGCAAATACAAACATGCAGCAAGATCATTTTTAGAAACAAGTTTTGAAATAGCCAGCGGACCAAATAATTATTCGGAGGTACGATGATGGACTTGATGGGTTGTGGCGGTGAAAGAGAGGGGGTTTTTTTACTAAATGTAATTTTTATAATTGTATATTAGGTAATTTCACCAAATGATATTGCAGTGTATGGTGGGTTATGTGCTCTTGCATCATTTGAGCGAGCCGAATTAAAAAGCAAAGTGATTGATAACACCGAGTTTAAACAATTCTTGGAGCTTGAACCACATATTCGAGAACTTATTAATAGTTTTTATAATTCTAAATATGCTGTCGTATTGGATATTTTAGAAAGATGGAAGGTAATAAATAAATAATGATGATGATTCTAGAAAAAAAATACTACGAGTATATACGTCTATATATATATATATATTTATTAATTTATTTATATATCCGTCTTTCTTGTTATATATAACAACTCTTTTTACAGAATGATTATTTGCTTGATATTCATTTGCATTGTCATGTTGAGACACTTTATGACGAGATTAGGAAGAAGGCGTTAGTACAATATTTCAGTCCATTTCTTACTATTGATATGAACAAAATGGCCAAATCTTTTGTGACTAATGTTACAAGGTTAGAAAAAGAACTTGCCAAATTAATTACCGAGAACAAGATTCAAGCAAGAATAGATAGTCATAAAAAGATTTTGTGTGCTAAACAACAAGATCAACGAAGTGGAATATTTTATAAATCTTTGAAAATGGGTAAAGAATTTGAAGAAAGCACCAATGCAATGTTACTTCGTATGAATTTATTGAAAGCAAATCTTGTCATACAAACTAATCACCACCATCACAAGTAAGTTTAATAATTGTTATGATGATATAATAATAATGTAATGTGTATCATATTAATATATTATGTTGTTATTATTATAGAGGTTTTGATAATAGAAGATTTTACTATGGGTACTCTGATAAATAGATATATATTTTATATATAATTTAAATTAATTAAAAGTTAAAAATAAATAAATAAATAATTTATATATATATGTATATATATATATATATAGGATATCTTATTTCTAATCATCTATCTAGCTATATATCTATTGTATCATGTGGCAAAATTATAAATAATTTCATTGATATGAATAAATAAAAATAAACAAACAAACAATTGATTAATGGATAAAGAAACAAATAAATAAAATCATTAACTTATTTATTAATTAAAAATTTTATTTTTATGCAACTCCCGACTCCTTTTAACTCATCCTCTCCTCCTTTAATTTAATTTCTCTCACCATTATTGTATATTGAAATAATTGTTTATTGCGCTAACAATTAGTCTATGTTCGACTGAATGTATACGAGATTCAAGATCATCCAAAGTATCTGAATCAAGAATCGGGACTTCTTCGATCAGTAACGGTTGACCTTTATCGACATCAACGATAACTTTATGTACCATAACACCAGTTTTAATAATTTCACCTTTTTTAAAAGCTTCGTAAGCTCTCTCGATAGCATTTGCACCATCAAATTGACCTGGTAAAGCAGGATGTAGATTTATTATTGGTGTCTCCTCGTTCCCTTCATTTTTCTGAAAAAAATTTAAAAATTCATTTGATAATATATGCATCCAACCAACAAGAACAATCATATCAATCTTGTGGTTATTATCATCGATATGATCGTTAGCAAACTCTATGATTTTTTTAGCAAGATCTAAATCATAATCGATGCGTGATTTTCCCGAGTCTTTATACGGTTTCAAAGGAAACACCAACGTTGGAATGTTTGCCTCGGCAGCACGTGTCAAACCATATGCAGACTTTCTATTAGAAATTACCAAGTCGATAACACAATCTTTCAAATAGCCCGAATTTATAGCATCGATTATTGCTTGAAGATTCGTACCATTACCAGATATTAATACCATTAGATGTTTTTTAGTCATAATAGATATATAATAACAGAGATGTATGATGTACAAAGAAACAGGTTATCGAATGTAGATCATTCATATATTTATATATCTTTGTTACACGGACATGTTTTTACTAAAAAAAAGAAAAAAAAAGAAAAAAAAAGAAAATGTCAACTAGAAATTCGTCTGTGGAAGAGCTTGGAAAGACATTAAAGGGACTTTTAGTCGAATTGGATGTTATTGAGAAGAGTGGCAATGAAATTTTTTCTAAAATGTTAGTTTTCCAATATTATAATTAGAAGAAGGGGGAAGATCAATAATATTAATCAAAACCATTTATTCTATTTAGTGAGAATTCATTTTCATATCCTTATCCAACTAGTAGTGCAACTGGTAAATAACAACAATAATTATCAATCTCACAATCACAGTTATTATTTTAATATAAATCTTTAATTGTTTATAATAATATTATTAGAGGAATTGAATACACTTTTACAATCGATTAAACTTTTTGAAAATAAGGCCAAGAGTAAAGGAATTACAAGCCTCACAAATAATATAGAAGAACCAGATAATATTAGCGATAATATTAATAATAGAATCAGAGCAATGACTGAAGAAAGAAGTAAAGCCACTGATGCATTGTTTCAAGAGATTAGAAAAATATCTAATAACGCTAACGCCGTCTTGTCATGAACTTGTATATAATTAATTATAGGGAGAGAGAGGGAAATACAATTAAAGTAAATTAATTAATTAATTAATTAATCAATTGAATGATCATAATAATCAATCTAGATTCATTTATCCTTATTTATCATCATCGTTATTATTATATTAAATTAATGATTAGATCAATTGCATACAAAAAAAAAATTTTTAAATTCATTTAATAAAATTATTTAAAATATTTCCATGTATGTATGTATGTGTTATGTATGTATGTATATGTGAATGTGAATGTAAATGTTGTATATTTGTATATATGTGAAGTTGATCTATTATCCATTATTCATTATTGTGAATATATAAGACTTAATTTTCCAAATAAAAATTTGAAAAGAGTTATTAATGGTAATTATTTTTATTATTTTATAAAATAAAACAAACAACGAAAAAAAAATGGTACATTTTAATTTGTTTCTCTCTTACATAATCTCCGCATTTTTTTAAGCCATCCCACATAAAAAAATCTTCAATTCGGAAAAATGAGGCAAAAAAAAACCATTTATTTGTTATTATTTGTCAATTTTATAATTAAATAAACTGTCAATTACATCAAAAAAAAATCTTCCTTCCATATGAGAATTAATTTGGTAATATATTTTACACAAAAAAAAAAAATAAAATAAAAAGAAATATGGAAAAGATTTTTTTTAATTATTGTCACATGCATTTGAATATATCGCTTATTGTACAAAGTTTTGTAGTGTAACATTGTTTAATTTTTCTTAAGGAAACAAAAACCACCTAAAGATTATGGACTATTATATATTATCAACTAATAAATATCAGAGGATATGCAGGGTTATTATGATAGAAGAAGGAAGAGAGTGAGAAAAGAAGGAAACGAGAGAATAGAGGAAAGGGAGATAGATAGAGAGAGAGAGAGAGAGAGAGAGAAAAAGAGAGAGAAAGAAAGAAAATTATCTCTAATACTAATGTTAAAAAACATAATTAAAAATAAATAAAAAGTAAAAATACTTCTTTAATATATATTTTTTGTTTGCGAATAAATAAAAATGCAGTAAACTTGTTTTATCTGTAAATATTAATGCAACAATTTATAAAATTTATTATTATTATTATATTTTGTATAATCATAGAACTTCCATATATGAATTAAAATATCGAAAAAATTAAAATTAAAATTTAAAAAAAAAAAATGAAAAAATAAATATATTTATATAATTTTTCTTTGTGATACAAAATATTTATTCTTTGAAAATTTGGTACTAAACATTGATGTGGGTTAATTATTTATTTAATTATTTTTTTTATTTATTTTTTCATTTTCATATTTATTTATTTATTTATTTATTTATCTGGTCTGTTATGTATTTATTTTGTTATGGATGGAACTCAAAATAATTGGTTTTATTTATTCTAATAAAAAATAAGAATATATTTTTTTTTTTTAGGGTAAAAAACTTGATTAATTCTTGATTTTTTAGACCTCCTATGATGATCACGATGATCATGATGATAATTTTAAAAGTATTGATTGATTAACGGTTAATTAAGTAAAGAAAAAGAGGGAGATAGAAGAAAGTGGAAATGTCAAAGTAATACCTAACAAACATTACACATATCTATATATATGTTATAAATAAACGTATTTAGTTTCCATATTTTAATAATACGCCTCTCAAATTAAAGAAATTTGTGTTGAATATAAAGTAACACAAAAAACATAATATTTATAAAATAAACACATTATAAGCGCACACATCATCATCAAACATTCTTCCCACTAATTTTTGCTATCAGATAAAAAAAATTTTAACTTTCATTAGGCTAAACTATTTTAAACTATCTTTGTTAAACTACAGTTAAATACGTCATCACACTAAAATTTATAATAATTAATCCATATTTTTATAAACATTTAAATTACACTTCCCACTGACGTATTATTTTCAACCAATCAATTGACAATCAGCAGAAATCATTCTAACCAAACAAATCAAATAGAATTAAATCGTCCAAAAAATTAACCAAATTTATCACGGCCAAAAAAAATAAAAAATAAATTTCTAAATAAAAAAAATCTTACCACACTCACACACACACACATTACAAAAACATACCACAAAACTAACTAACTAACTAACTATATCTAAATACTGAAATTAACCTCGTACAAACTCGCAAATGCATTATTTATTTATTCAACTAAACTATAAAAATTGACTATAACAATCATATAATTAATATTATTTAATATATAAACTGCTATATATATATATAAATAAATAAACTATAAACTATAATAATTATTAGCTGTAGAAAAAAAAAAAAAAATCAATCAATCAATCAATCAATTATATCAATTATTACTCAAAAAATATATAAATATCCTTGCTACAATTTCATCCCTTTTTTTTATTTTTTTTTCCAAAAAATAAAATTTTTTTTTCTAAATACAAAAATTTAACCTCTTAATATAAAATACACAAAAATAATCGATACGCACTTTTTTTTCCTTTTAACTTTTTTTTTTTACTTTATATTAATAATTATCATCAAATCAAATTTCATCATCTTTTAATAAAAAATTTTTTATTACGTTATATTTGTTTACATACCCTCGAAAATCATTACGTAAATCACACATTTAAATCCATATAAATAAATCCAAAAATTCCCCACTTTTTTTATAAAAATAAATTTTCTCTCACTTTTTTAAAAAAAATTTTATTCATCTACAAAAAAAATAATTTCTCTTAAAAATAATTTCTTTTCGCATACAATAATAACAAATTCCGAATATATATATATATATAAAGTAATAATATATATATATATATTTTTCTTATTATTCTTCTTCTCATTCTTGTATATACACAAAAAATTTTTTTCTTTACAATAATATACAAAAACACACACACATATACACACATATACAATTCTTTTATATACAAATACATACACACATACACACAAATAGATATACACAAATAGATATATACATATATCACATTATCCATTACTTTACGTACGGCAACGAACAAAATGGCCCAAGAACGTATTCCTAATACTACTAGCAGTGGTAGCGGCACTAATAATTCGAGTAATAATTGTTATGCTTTCGTGTTGGAAGATCCTTCTAAACCAAGAAAATTTCAATTAAATTTTAATCCTCAACCTCCAAATCAACAACAACAGCCACCACAAATAATATCTTCATCACATGATCATCAAATAGACCATAATAATAATAATAATCATAATAATAATAATAATAATAATAATAATATTTCTCCTCAACATGTTCATATAAATAATAATAATTATTCTCCTTCAATCCAAAATTATCCTAATAACAATGGTAATTATCCATATCAACAACAACAACAACCTTCACAACACCATTATTCACATTCACAACAAATACATGCACCACTGCTTGCACATCCTCATCAACAACAACAACAGCCCATAACCTTACCATCGATAAGGGAAATTTTGGCACCACAAACACCACCACCACCACCACCACCTCCATCATCTCTTCATCCAGCAACTTTATATCAACAACAACAACAACAACAACAACAACAGCAACAACAACAACAACAACAAGCATTATCATCTTCTCAAAAACCAATTAATCATAACAATCTAATTCCACAATTAAAACCAAATAATCATACTGCTAATTTGGCTCCATTATTACAAACTAATTCATCTGTTCCTACAACCGGGGCATCCGGTGTTGCTAACGATTATTATTCTCATTATAACAGGACTGTCGATCCTTCGATAGATGGTACTACAAATAATTATCGTGGCAGTGCTACCGCTGCTGTCTCTAATTTACCAAGACAGCAACAACCTTTTAATCATTCTGTTGCTCCTGATATTTATCATCATCAACAGCAACAGCAACAAAATATAAACCCTCATCATTACCACCAGCAACCATCTCAATTAAATCAATATAACAATCAATTACCTCAATATCATTCACAGCCGCCAACTCGTGCTCCTACTCCAAATCAATCATATCATCATCATGAATACGAAGGAAATCCACACGATCATTTTAGATACCCTGCATCTGTTCCTGTTGTACCTAATCGTACCATGGCTGCATCGACTACTGCTACAAATCCTGCTATACCCCCGAATCGTCAAAATTACCCCACTGCAGCTGCTGCGCCTTATGATCACCCTCAACCATATCATCCTAATTCTCATCGCAATCATAATGATGTTATCGTTGATAATAGAAATATCGGTCAAAGTTCTTCTACTAATACTGCTGCTACCTTTGATCATCACCATCATCAAAATCAAGATAATCATCATTATCATCAAGGTTCCTCATCGTATAATCAACAACAACAACAACAACAACATCATCATCACAATAACGGTATAAATAACAGCACCGGTAACAATAATAGTGTTTCTGTTACAAATGTACCTATTGCTCCTCATCAATCTCAAACATATCATCATCAATATTATAATCCTGATCGTCATCACGGTGAAGCCACTCCAACTTATTTAGCACCTCCAACGGCCCATCACACTCATCATCAACAACAAATTGTTTATCCTGCCACTAATCAAGTTACTCTTCACCATTCTGAAAATAATTCGAATGTTTCAACTAGATCTCCTTCACCGGTCCCTCCTCCATCACATTCAATTAATTATCAAAATTCTAACATTAAAGCTAACAATACGATCACGAATGCAAATACAAATAATGATAATGCTAATTCTACAACTGCTACAATGGTTGCTAACGAATCAGTTATGACAAATCAATCAACAACCCCTGTAAATAACAATAACAATAATTTAGAAAAACCCAATAACATTAATATTAGTAATAGTGACACTCCTTTTAATAATAATAAAGAAAGTAGTAATAATTCTACTGCTAATAACCCCCCTGGTAAAAAACGTAGTGGCAGAGCACAAAAACCCAGACCAATAATTCCTGCGCCAACTTCTTCTAACCCGACTGCATCTAATAATGCAAATAATCAAACCGTTACTAATGTTCCAATCACTAATGTTACTACTTTACCATCATCCCAAGAACAACAATTTACACAACAACAGTCTATAAATTCAAACGAACAAACTTCTGTCTTCGTTCCATACGTAGTTAGAGGCGGTGATATAAATAATACCAATAATGAAATTAGTACCGGTAACAGTAGTAACAATAATAGTAATAATAGTTACGCAATCAATAATAATGGTTTACAACCACAACCTGTTGCTGCTCCTGTTGTTTCTCCACAAAAACCTAACAAATCATCACGTAAAAATAGTATAAGTCAATCATCTAATAATGCTACTTCTGCAAATACCAAACGTGGTAGAAAACCTAAAGATAAGGATAGTGCTAAAGATAAAGAGAGTAATGTAAAAGATGGAAATAATAATAATGTTAATACTAATAATGTAAATAATTCTTCAAATAATGTTATTCAAATCAATACTGCTGCTTTACCTTCAACAACAACTATAGCTCAACCAACTCCAATTACTCCACATACTAATATTCCATTCTTGGAGAGTTCAAATCATAACAAACCTAAAAAACGTCAATCGAGCCGTTCACCACCACCGGTTATAAAAAATCCAATAAAAAAATCTAAAAAAAATCGTGACAACGATAACATCAAAATCGAAGTTGAACCAAACAATAATAACAATATTAAATTGGAGGTCGATGTTAAAATGGAAGAGGATGTAATTAATAATAATGGAAGAACCATGGTTGATTCGTCGTCTATCTCCGAATCTACATTTAATGATATCATAGTTGATAGTAAAGAAATAGTTACAAACAGTGACAATGCTACCAATACAAACTCCCTATTGAATTCAAACGAAATTACTGAAAAAGAACAAGAAGCAATATTCATTCTAAATTCTTTCAGAAATAATAATAATAATGACAATCTAAATAATTACGTTGCAACAATTGATAATAATGATCACCAGTATCATCATAATGTTCATCATAAACAATATCCTGACCAACAAATAACGGAGGGAAAAGCAGATATGATTGAACAACTGATCTCTAATAGAGTAAGAAAATTGTCAATTCAAGAATATGACGAGGACGATGATAGTCCTAACAGTAATAATAATAATAATAATCCTAATAATAATAATAATAATAATACCATTATTAAAATAGAAAAAGATAGTAGTACCAGCAATGTCGATAATAAAAAATTGTCAAGTATAAAAGTTGAAGGTAAACAAAAAGACAAGGTCAAAGAAACTACTGCTACTAAAAAAAGAGATAAGAAAGACAATAGTAAATCATCGTTTTCACCTACAGAACCTTCGCCTACAAAATCTTCACCCTTGAAATCATCATCGTTATCAGCTATTGCTACCAATAATAATAACAATAATAGTTATTCGTCTAATGACAGCAAAAAGATTTCTTCTACTAGTGAAAAGAAAAATGGTAAGACCACCACCATCACTTCTGCAAAAGTCAACAATAATAAAATAACAAATATCATTAATGGCAATAAAAATAAAGCCGCTAATACTCCTGATTCAGATACTGATCTTGCAATGGATGACGAGTCTGAAGAAGAGGAAATAGAACAATTATTAGTAGTAGATAAAAAAATGAAACAATCGCAACAATCACGCAATAATAAACAACCTTTACATGTTATCAGGAATCTAGCCACTGGTGAAAGTGGTCGTGGTGGATGGAATAGTGATGACATGGAGACGGAGAATGAAGAAGAGATAGAAATTGTAACTAACACTACTACTACAACCACCACAGCGATTTCTACAACTTATAATGCCAACAACAGCAATAATAACAACGGATTATCAAAACTTAGAACAACTTCGACTATTAGTAATAATAGCAAAGACGACGACAATTTTTTAATAAAATCAGAAGAGAGTCCTTCATCACTAACAAATAACAATAACGGTTGTGTTGCCACATCTTCAAGAAAATCTTCGTCGTCTAGTAGTCGTAAAGGATCTACTTCGTCTACTGAAAGTAACAAGGATACAGCATCATCAACAACAACGATTGCTTCCATAACTAATAGTAATAATGATGTTTCTGATGATCCGCCACCACCACTACCACCACCACAACAACAACAAACCATAGCCGTATCATCCGCATTATCTTCTGGTAATAGAAATACGTCTATATCATCTTTGTCATCGACGGTGACAACGAACGGAAGGGCAAGACCATCTCCTACAAGAAGAAAATCCACAATACGGGAGAACGATGAACGGTTAGAATTGGCTGCGATAGAATGGGAGAAAAATATAGAGATTCCACATCACATCTGGGAAGAAACATTGAGAATTTTTGAAATTGTCAAACACTCGAAAGAAATGAAAAATCGTCAACCACACCGTAAACGAAATCATATTCTAGCCTCAATTTTGTTCATTCTATGCCGTAGAAATGGTTTACCTCGTACGTTCGTGGAAATCTGTCAAGCGGCATCTATACGCAAACAAGAGATTGGCACATATTATCGTCTGATGCAAAAGGTTTTTGAAAGTAATGGTTTAGGTGGTGGAAACCATGGTGTTCCTAGAACTGTTGATTCATCTGAATATCTTGTATGTATAAAAATTTTTTTAAAGCTTTTCACTAATAATAATTCAACAATAATTTATTTGTACTCATCGTCTTGTTATTTATTATTTTTTAAAATAGAAACGGTGGTGTCAAAATTTGAAATTGCCCGATCACATTCTTAATGCAGCAATTCATGTATACCGTCAAGCGAGTGAATTAAATATTACAACTGGCAAGTGCCCTGTCTCTGTTGGTGCAGCATCCATATGGCTTTCAATAAGTTCGTGGAATGAATCTAGAACAATATGGAATGCAACTGACGATCAAGAAGTTATCAAGTGTGAACACAAAGACGTGGCATCAGCAGCCGGTGTCGTGAATGCAACACTGGTGGGATGTTTCAAAAACTTGTCGAAATTCAAAGAACAATTGTTACCTTCCGGGTTTATTGAAGAAGCTAAAAAGAGATCGCCATTCCCAAACAGGATGTCTGTATGGTTACCACCTAATAATAATCCTAATAAAAACCATGCTGTCATAAATAATAACGGTTCCAATAGCTCTGCTGATGGCGGTATTAATAACGGTAACGCTAATGGTGCCAATAATTATAATGTAAATAATAACAACACAGTAGTCACTTACACGACATCACCGACAAGGATTCATAACAATGATGATGACTTGCCTATGAACGTCGTCGAATCACAAGACGATGAACTTGAGGATGGTGAATTGAGGGAATCCGAGGGTGAAAATAATATGATAATTGATTAAATAGTAATATGATAATTGATTAAATAGTAATATTTAATGTGTATAGATTTTCTTAAAATTTTCTTATATAAATTTTTTTTTTTTAATTGTAAATATTCTTTCTATTTCAAAAATTATATAAATAAACAAGTCAAATAGTCATAAATCAATAATCATTCTCGTCTCATTTTTTGATTTAGGATAAAATGTCAGTTATAGGCAAATAATTTATTATTATATTAGTATGTTGGACATAACAAATATCCGTAAGAGAAGTGAGCTGTACATGAGTCACACGAGAATAATAGAATTCATCACGGACCAACTTTTCATCGTTACTAAACAGGTCCAAAAGGTATAAAGATTTAACGCTTGGCATTCAAAACATAGGTAAAATAAAAAGGTTATAAAATCCACCTGATGCAATTTGCATATTCCAAACCGGTTGATAAATTGTTTGTACCTTTATTAAAACTGTAGAATTATCTTCTTTAATTTTCTTTCTTATATAATAGTGTTCATGGGTTTCCAAATGCGTTTCATACAAGTCTGTTCTTCTTTTTTTAACGTGTTCTAACATTTAATTGCAAAGTAGGGTTTCTATTTGAATAAGGTTCACTTGGATGATTCGAATGATTCGTGATTGATTTTTTTGAGCATTCGAATCACATTGAATGATTATTCGGATAAAACGAATTTCTTGTGTAGCAGCAAATTTAAAGTTTCAATCTGAAGTTAATGATTTAAATGAATATGACGGTTATGATGATGATTTTGAAAATAATTCAAAATCTAATAAAAAAAGAAAGGTTAAGTCATGCCAGTAGGGTTTGTCGAATGATTTGTATGATTAGTAATTTGAATATTCGAATCACATCGAATAAAATGAGCCCGAGTCCGAAATTGTGCCAACTATTACTATTACTGGTGATGATTAAATTTTGAACCCTGAAATTCTTGGCAAGACAAATGTTCACTTTGTTGCATGACATGTAGGGATGGGGAGTTTGGTTTTCGTGTAACCGGTTTAAACAGTTTGAACGGTTTTTTGAACGACATTACACGAACCCTTATTAAAATACCAAGAAAGGCAATGACTTTCAAAACCGTTTGTTAGTGAAACCGCCCCGCCTGTGACTGATATAAAAATTCGATAAGTAGTTTCGTTGAAAAAATTTCAAGCCGATCATATTATATCAAGTATTCGTCATAGATCACAATAGCATTATTTTTGAACATTAAAGAATTTAATTATTATATGGCTGTGAATATGATAAAGAACAAATTAGGTTAATGGAATAAATGTGTATTCTCGTTGATGAAAATGACAAAAAAAAAATCGGAGCCGATGCCAACAAAAATTGCAAGTTATATATCTAAACTTAATATTATATATATATATGTATATGTATATATTTATTTACATGCACATATATACATATCAAAGGTTATCATCTCATGGAAAATATAAAAAAAGAATTATTACCTCGAGCATTGGACAAATACATGTTGTTCTCATTCCGTTTTGTTCCTTGCAACAAGTTACGTATATGTGTGGTATCAACTCAAAATCATGATTTTTGACATTAACACTTTATATTGTCCATGCTACAAATATGGTTAAAAGGTCACATCAATGGATCCAATGGACCAGTATCATGGTTGGCCAACCGTGGTTTGCGTTATAGAAATTCAAATGGCCAAAAAACGAAACTGATTTTATGTACGGAATCGTTACTACCAGTACCATGTAATGCGGTGGTATGTTTTGTTCTTTAATGAAGAAAAATGTGTTTACACGACAACAACAGATACAAGCGACAATACTGTTGTTCCTCTTAGTAACACAGTTAGAATGTGATAATTATGTTAAATTTTTTTTTTTTTAGCATTAATTTGAAATCAGACTGATACTAATATGAATGAATGAATTGAATACTTTCTACTATTTGCATCCTGATCTAATATTTGAACAATTAAGATCAATAAATTTACATGTTTATATTATAATATGAATCAATATGTGATTTATAATATTAAAAATTTATTATACATAAAAAAAATAACCAGTTAGTTAACAAGGAAAAGAATAAAGAAATGGAAGGTGAGGAAGATGAAGATACTAATGCTTTCGGTCCAAGTGCCCTGACAATATTTTCATGTATTTCTATTTGTTATAACTAGAGATGTTCCGTGTGCATGATTTTTTTTCAAATAATGTCACACACAGAAAGTGCAGAAATTAAATTTTACAATATAAAGCTCGTGGTACCAATAATGTGGATTTATTGGCCTGGTGGAAAAGTAATTTCGGAGCTGTGGAACCTGAATTGACAAAAATTGTGGTAAGAGTTCTTTCTATTCTTACCTCATCAGCTTCAGCAGAAAGGAATTGGTCTACATTTTCTTATATACATGATAAAAAACGAAATAAATTGACAAATGATCGTGATTTTAAATAATAAATTGAAACCCCCAAAGATGTTATAATGTTGATAGTGTTGATAATAGTGATATTGACAGCGGTGAAAATGAATTATCTGTAAACATTTAATTTTCATAATATATTTTTAATAATGAATATAAAAATGTTAAAGTAATGCCGAATATGTTGAGTGATTTTTCTTAAAAAAAAAAATGCTCTGCATGAAATTTTGAAATTTCCCATCCCTAGTTATAATCAATCACAACTTCGGTAGTGTTAGATTTGGTCTGGCTGATTTGCTATATACCTAACGATCCATCTCAACAGTGATAGATATTCATATGTTTCCTTTATATGATGTATCGGGCAAGCTTGAATATATTTATATCGGGAATATGTTTTATTAAATAACTATTTTAAATTTTTGCTATATATAATGATGTAATAAATACATGTATACTGTTAGTGACGAAGTCACCCAGCACAATAATCCTTTCTAAAAAAAACAATGATGTAAATTTCGACAAAATTAGGTTTATCTATTTGCTATCTTTTTCACACACAATTTCATCCAATATATCTTGATTTTTCCATTTTATCGATTCTCTCATTTCGGCCATTGTTGATTCTTTCATTTCGGCCATTGTTGATTCTTTCATTTCGGCCATTATTGATTCTTTCGTTTCAGTCATTATTGGTTCTTTAGTTTCATCCTTTTGATCTTATTTAGACATTCATCTATAAGTTTAAATTGAGTCCATGCTGTTGAAGTAGCCAGAAATTCACCAGGTGCTGGTTCCTTCTATGTAAAGAAGGTCACCTTTCTTGTTAAAGAGAGAACCAGTATAAACACGCATGCTTTGACAAAGTAAAAATCGATTGTCCATTTAACACAATAAATAATAATATTTGCAAAATATTCAGGAGATGAAACCATCCAGGACAAAATAGTATATATGTCCATCCAAGTACATCGTCTGATTCCTTTAAGCCACACAACTCTTCACTACACGCATTAAAACAAATTAGCATAATCCAAATGAATGGTGAATTTGACAATATCCCAAATGATGTAATGAATACCATACTAATTGAATCAAAAAGATGTCTAGTTATAATGATAACAATCCAGAATATTGGAATGACTATGCATCAAGAAAAGTTCAATGTGATCAAACCCGGGATCATCGCCGACTTTTTTATTCTTAATTATTGTGTATACTGCGCAAGTTACATACAAAACCATGCTTACAAATGAAAATATCTTTATACTCAGGCAAATCATCGTATGTGCCGATCATCAAAGACATCAAAAATTTTGGCTAAACTTTAAAATGTATAAGTTCAATGACCATGCAAGATAAAAAAAAAACACTCTATAGTTTTATTCTATAAGACATAGGGAAAGATGAAATAGAGAGTTTTTATTAAAATGAAAAGAGTTATGATGGTTTAAAGTTTGTCATTTTTACTATTAAAAAAAAAATTTCACCACTGATCATTACTCTATTTAAA